AATAAACACTTTATTAATACTATGCCGTTTAAGTAAACCAAATTTGATTTGCCTAGAACTATTATTTAAAATGTTAACGATTACGTTAACGTTACAAAGTTATAGATTTTAAAAAAAGTGTTCCTCTAATTTTTTTGAGCAGTGTATAATACCTGTATTACAAGTTTTGCTCCAGTAAAACGCCTTTTATCTTTTGGCGGAATGATAATGAGGCCTCACGGAAGGAAAATGAGCGACGAGTTATTTGAAAAATTTGTGATTTTAAAATCTACAAAACAAATTCATGTTCATATACAGCTTGGCTAATCTAATCCTACGGTTATTTTCCTAGAGACAACCAATAATCTAGAAATAATGTGTAGCAGAGCCACTAGATTGGGTTTGCCAAGCTGTAGTTGGTGGTCATTTTACTAGTTTACTAATTTAAATTTTATAAAGGGGTGTTTACACGTCAATATATACAGGATGAGTTATTAGTATCCTGGCGGACGATAGTTGCTAAACCGTTTAAGAAGAAAATGTTTTATACAAAAGTTGTTTGACTCATGACTACCTAAAATTATTTTAACTTATACAAAGTGTTCCATTTAAGCGTAACAGAGAGTACGTAAATTTATTTAAATGGAACACCTGTATATTCTACTATATTATGAATACAACTAAATTTGTTTATACAACCGTATAATATGTTACTAGTTCACAGCGTTCATAGTTCCTGAGATATTCAATTGTTCTTTCAAAATGTGCCCATTACTGGATCTTTGACGAAACGATGTAAAAACGTGACATTTTTTCCAATTTTACCTTGAAACTATGTCAGAGAACAGTCAAAGCCAGTAAGTAAATGATAGTATCGAAAGATATTAGATACGCTATACAGCGTGTTCATAAAGCTTAGTTACCTTTGATGTTTTTGAAATGGCTTTTTCATAAGTTTTTTAAATGGAATACCCTGTATATTGTGTGCTGGTTGAATTGCCCATCAGTTTTCCTGATATTTAGAATTTAAAGAATGAGGTGTAATAAAAGATGCGTTTTTTTTTGTTTATCATTTTTTTTTGTTCTTCCTTCTATTATTTGATTAATATTTTATAATGGAAAATAATTTTGCCATATACATATCGCTGCTCCAGTAAAACACGGACGCAACTGCAATTTTTTAGAAAATGAGTTACTCGCGTAAACTAACGCAGAATATTGCTATTTATCCGCTAAAAAAACGCCGTACATGTACTTGCAGTATTGGCTGACAGCATTGCTCCGTGAAAATACCGACGCATTTATTAGTTGCGTCTTCGCTATCACGGGATTTGTCGCAAACTTAGTGAAATATTGCCGTAAATGCTGGTTAAGACTATTGTCGTGATTCATTCTTGCTTATTTTCAGAAGAACAAGGAGGTAAGTACACTGTACGTCTATGTTTTACTAAGTATAGGTGTATAGGTCTTATGAAAAGTCATAACTGTTATAATTATTGTGTGATTCGGCAGAATATAGACGCAATTATACTTCACGTCTATAATTTTCTGAAAATTATTGTGAATTATGGCCGTAAATGTACTTTACGTCTGTATTACTTTAAAAAGTGTTATGAACTCTGAACATAATTGTACCTTACGTTAATATTGCTCTAACAATTTTTCAACTAACCAAGTGCCGCAATTACATTAAGACTACAGTTTAGGTGCAAAATGCAATATTAAAAGCTGTTTTCTGGTGTAATAAGTACCTGCGGTTTCTGTTGCAGAGAAATGAGTTCCCGAACTTATAAAATATTGAGTCTAGCGACAACTCAAGTAGTGAGTAATATCGATGCTCTTGCAATTCCTAATTGTCCTTCCAATGAAAATATACCTCCTAATATATGCTCTAAAACAGAAACCACTATTGACGAAAATCCGATTAATGAGAATGAATCATTTAACGCTCAAGCCCAAAGTCAGCGTTTTTCTCTTGTTGAAATTTCCAATTCTTCTTCTATAAGTAAGGCTTTAAACGAACATTACGTGGCCGAAAGGAAAAGTACCTCAAAATTGATGTTAAGGAAAATAAACCAGAGTTACAAGGTATACTGCGATTCTGAAGAGAAACCATTTTCTGCAGGATCAGGTGATGATTACAACCCTAATGATGGTAATAATAGTGATTCGTGTTCTTCAAGTGAAAGATCAATAAATCTCGAAAATATTGATGAGAATAATACTGATGATAATGAAGAAGAATCTACGTATTCCCCAGTCAAGAAAGGAAAAAGAAGAATTAAAAAATGTGAACGATTGGAAACAAGTGAAAGCAAAACGTTTCAGAAACTCAGGTCAACAATACACTTCTTTAAGAACTGGAAAAATTGTCAAAGCTAAGTCCATGAAACCTGCTTGCTCCGATAAATGCATTCCTTCTTGTTCACAAAACATCTCTGAGGATTGTAGATGTCAACTGTTTAAAAAATACTGGGACTTAGGAAACTTAAAACGCTAGCGAGATTTTCTTGGCTCATGTATCGAAAAACTGATGCTTAAATATAGGCGAGTTTCATCTACAGAGCCAAGAAAACCAAACTGTGCGTTCAAAAAAATTAATAACGAAACATCGATTCGTTTAATTGAGGTTTACATATAGATGGTTGAAGATGTTGTAGGATTCACAAGAGAGAGATTACTACAATAAAATTTAACGTATGACACGAAATATAAATGAATGAATTCAGTTTGTTTTGACATAAACAAAAGTGCGCGGCGTGTCTCGCATATGGCGCGCGGCAATTGTGTCCGACGAACGCCGCGTGTTGCTGCCGCTCACTTGCCGCGCAATGTTTGGACACACCTTTAGGTACCTTTCGTGCCATATTATTAGATCTTAAGTTTTCTCTTAATTTAGAGCACCCCATGCAGTTTGTATTTTCGAAACTTTAATAAAAAGACTAAAATGTACCAGATTTAAAATAATTTTTTCAGGTAAAGCAAAGGTGTAACTTCAAATTTCACTTTTAATTTTAATTGTAGAAAAACTATAATTACGTCATGCTATACTACGCATCGTATATAGTTTGATACCAATTATTGATGACAATTAGAAAATTAAACTGTTAGAAACACACAAATTAAAAAAAACGATTTCGTTTTTTGCGTCTCCTGTAAAATTTACGGATTTCCAGTTACGTCTATATTCTTCTGGGGCAGCAATATAGTATAAAACCACGAGAGCTGGCAGTAAGTCATCGCTTAAAAATGGTATGAATCAAGAAATGGACGTACTACTTAGATTATGTCTCCACAAATATTTAAATATACTTTATGTTAGTAATGGAGGTTATATGTCAAACATTGTCAAAGATAGTTGAAGTTAATAAGTGAAAAAGTGTTAATATTAATTTATAATAAAGTTTATGTAATTATTAATTTATGTAACAAATAGTTTTAATAGTATATTAAAAAACAAGTTTCGTAAGACACGCTTGAAATGCACGAATTTAATTCCACATTTTTTAATGAATGAGTGCTTTAAGTCTTATGAAACAACATAAAATGTATTCACCTGAAAAAAAATTTTCATGTACACCTCCTAAAAGAAGAGAAATTGCTCAGAGTTCAATGTCCTCATCATTGTGGACCTTGTATTCGATGCTAAGAACGTGTTTAAACATCCATAGACAAAAATTGTCACATTGACAACTAGAAAAATTAATGACCAAATGTCACCACCTTGAACTGGTTCCATAAAAATTTACTAAAATCTCATTACAGCATCGGATGCTGTAAGGAGTCTCATTACAGCACCCGTTTGAGTACTGTTAGAGCTTTCATTACCGTCGCGAATTACAAAAACAACCTTTTTGTAATTCCTTGTAAATCTTGGTTACAGTTAGTAACATTGAATTTGTGTCACATTGACGGCATCAATTTCAATAGTCGTGGACAAAGTAGAATACTAATACTCGCATATAATGAGCTGTTATTCACTCATTATATGCTCATGTAATAATATACTATTAAAGTCAGTCCAAACATGACACATTTCTCTCAAAAAACCAAAAAGTCCAAAGAGTCCAAAGATGACGCAATAATCTCAAAAAATAAAAAAGTTAGAATAAAAAACATTAAACCCGTAGTTAGCAAAAATGAAGATAGCAATTTAATTTTTAAATATTAATACCAACCTTAATTTTTAAGACATTTTATAAAAATTACAAATATGTCAAAATTGACGTTGACATTCTTAACCGGAAGTTGACCATAACTTCATTAATATTGAAGATACACATGTCGTGTTTGTACTCATTTTAAAGGATTTTTAATGAAGATTACAAATATGTCAAAATTGAGGTTGACATTTTAAACCTAAAGCTCGTTATCATATAATAGAAGTTTTATAACAGAAGTTAATCCAGTGTTAGTTACTTTTCAGCACTTTCTTTTTATTTTAACGTGTTTTTTGAGTCAATTCACATTGATTAAAAAAAAATCATCGATTTTTAAGCCACACGATATTTTTTTTTTTGTTAAAAAAGAGCGTTCTTAAATTTTAACCTGTAAACTTGTAACACTTCGTCCTTAAGTTCATTTTATAACTTTTTAAACTTTAATTTTGTAAATTAGTAACTAATAGTCTGATTTCGACTTTGATATGTGATCTTTTTGAACAAAAGAAAAAGAAATATTAAGAAACTTATTTGTAAAATGGATAGTATGAGGGATATTAATCTATTTGTAGAGTCTTTGAAGATGGTCAATGGCCGAAACTAGTTAGACTTAAATTCTATATAAAATAGAAGCCAGTTGAAAAGTACAAAATCAAACTCTAGATAATTTTCTTCAAAAAGTTTTACATGAAACATCATTTTCACTCTAGTATTTGTGCAACAACAGAAACAGCCTGCATAATCGCAAAACGACTGATCAAGGGGATTCTGTGCTTGTGATGGCTGTCATCAGTGTTCTGTAATAAAAATAGATAGGCACCAAACAATTTTCAATAGTTTGAGCTTATCTATTCTGAGAAGTCATATTTTTAGAGAGATGGAAACGGAACTCCCGTTTTTCTCAACATAGTTAATTTGTCGCTTAGTCAAGTAATGCATAATGTGGTGTAATAAAAACTGTAGCATTCCATTTAAAATACCGAAGTTGTGGTTTACTTCCACATTGCAAAAAATGTCATTTAATTTGGTAAAACTTTTAAAACCAATTACATTGTTGTAAGCCGCATAACTTACATTTCCTGTATCAACTCCTAATACAAATGTGTTTCCATACAAAAACATACATGTTATATTTGAATGGAAAACTTCCCAAGTATTAAAAATCTTCTTTCCAACCATATCATTGGGCCCCAAAATGAACAACTCAATAAGTTGATCATTAAATTTATCTTTAGCTAAAAAAAGATATTAAATTATTGTGATTTCCGTTTTTTTGTATTCTCCAAAAATACTTACAAATAGAAATAATAATATCATTCCTATAAATAAAAGTATTTCTCTGTTGATGAAATTTATTTTTATCACAAAACCTAAGTTTTGTTTTATTCTCAATGGTAGTCATTGGAGGCATTTCATCATCATATTTCAAAATTTTAACATCACTATTCATCAAAAAGGTACAAATACCATTCCATATTCTAACCCCTGTCACTTCATCAGGTGAATAGATACGAACGTACGTAATTTCAAAGAATTTCTTTTCTCCTTCGGAATCATAACCCAATTTAACAATGGAAACGCGACCACCACGTTTTACAAAACATAAATAAATTTTATAAGCACTGTATAAAATCACATCTTGAACAATTAAAGGCGGAACAGTTTTATATTCATAATCAATGAGGTAAAGTGTTCCACATTTGTAATAAACTATTAAAAATGGTAATTCTGTTTGACGATTTAATGCCCCATTATCTGAAAATTTGTCTTTGAAGAAGTTAATATAAAAATATTAATGTTATAAAAACCATTTAGAAAGGAGATCTCTGTTATTTTTACTGATAGATAACGATCAGTGTATAATAAGTCCCAATGGTCATTAAAGATCCTTATTCGACCATCTTCAGAACCAACAGCCACAAAGCGTCCTGTAGATAGATCTGTATCTTATCGATTTTAGTTTATTTTTAAATCAAAAAGCGTTTTTTTTTGCAAAAAATAAATAAATTACCTGACACAGCCAAACAAGTTATTCTAGGTACCTCAGCAGGGCAAAGAATAACATCAAAATCAACATTAGAGTCAATGTTCTTCCAAACATACCAATTTGCATATATATCATTAAACTTATCTTTATCTTTGTGTCCTTTATATTTTTCAAGGTATTCTATAAGTTCATCTTTTGGAATTTCTTCGAAACAACAATGCATCCAAATTTTAGTTTTCTAAACAAAACCTCAAAACATAAATCCTCAACAGCTTATTCATTAAAAATATTACCTTTGTAAGATAATTTACACAATCTCTCCATTGAGCATTAACAGATTTCGCATTGTAAAGGGTTTTCCCATCGCAGAATGATAAAATTCTCTCAACAGTTTCGATAGGGAACATAATAAAATCTAAAATAAAATTGAGCCCTGAAAAATTTGTTTAGAAATTAGAATTACTTACCAATGTATCTTTTTGAGGTGAGACAAGTTGAATCGATGCGACTCACCGGACGAATCAGACAAAGTCTTTGTGCTTAAATAAAGCCGCATTTTTGGGAGAGCATTGTAAATAAAATCAAAAAGCTAATTGATTGTTTTCATCTCCTCTTTTTTAACAAAAAAATACTTTTACAGAAAACTTGAAATTTTGAGGTTAAAACGTCAAATGGGTTTTCGTATGGATAACAGATGACAGATATAAAGATTTCTGTGTTATCATTGTACAAGAATAAATGGTTTATATTTCTTTTTTAGTTTATAAAAAGATTAAAATGCTTAATAAACCAATTAAAAACGATAAATTAATATAATAAAAATATTTAGGACGAAAAATAGAACTAAAAATCTATGACAGAGCATGGAAAAATTGCAATTCTTATGGTCATCTATCGGTCACTTCATTAATTAAAAATCTTCTTCAAATAATATACAGAATGATTCAAAAAACCGCTGACAGGCTTCTAGGACAGGTAATACATCAAAAATTAAAATGAAAAGTCTTAATATTACTTTAAAATTAAACATTATCTGCAATAAAAAGCCCTTTTTTAAAAATATTGTCTACGCCATTACTAATTTTATCAAACGGGCAGTATTTTCGTGTAAAGTGATCAATTGGTCTCTTACAAAACTTTGATTAAAGCAACAGTTTTTGATTGGATTAACATATTTTCTACAAATTTGTTTTTCTTAAAAACTATTGCTTAAGTTAAGTTTTGTAAGAGACCAATTGATAGATAATTGATCACTTTACACGAAAATACTGCCCATTTCACAAAATTAGTAATGGCGTAGACAATATTTTTAAAAAAAAGGGCTTTTTATAGCAGATAATGTTTAATTTTAAAGTAATATTAAGACATATAAAAAGTATATTAAGACTTTTCATCTTAATTTTTGGTGTATTACCTGCCCTAGAAGTCTGTCAGCGCTTTTTTGAATCAACCTGCATATATTTGGTGTTTGAATCTCTCCAGATTCCTTTCACCAGGCACTGACTTTTATATTTAAAATCAAAAATCTCCGAATTCCCTACTCATAATAGGTACCCATCACCAATAAAGGAAAAACTCTTCTCGAAGGGGGGATAGCCCTTCTGATTACAACCGAAATATCCCACTAAAAGAAAAGACTAGGAATTGTATGATGGGTAGGTAAAGGATAGTTATATACAGATTTTGCATGAACACAAAAACGTATATAATAACCTATACACTGACAACGATTCCTCATTCAAGATATAACCTATACCGAACGGTGCATATAAACCCAACTTCAACAATTCCAAAAACAAACAATCAACACCAGCCGTAAAGCGCTGACAATGGAAAAATATGTGGTTCAAATCTCCCACTTCCCCACAACTACATAACGGAGACTCAGACAAACCGATTCTGTGTGCATGTGCAGGAAAAATACCACGTCTCATTCTAATCCTATTCATAGTAGAAATAAATGCCTTATCGTAGATGGTTCTATGCATAAACCACGGAGCAACCCCAACCAATGGACTCAAATCTCTGACTTTTTTCCCCTTGGTTCTACTTGATATGTCCCATATCTCCTGCCATTCTTCCAAAGCCTTATTCTTGAGAACTCCAACCACATCTCTCCAATCCAATTTAATGTCATGCAAGGGTGCATTCCCCACTTCACCAGTCAATCTGTCCGCCACGTCGTTCCCCAAAATACCCCTATGTCCAGGGATCCAGCATAGCACTATTTCAATACCCTTCTCATTGGCTCTTGATCAATCAAATCAACCGCTTTATATATCAAATAATGTTTTTTCTTATCTCCACCCATAAAACCTTTAATAGCGTTTATAGCACTGAGAGAATCCGAAAAGATCACCGCTGACTTTATTTTGCTCCGCCTGATATAATCCAATGCCCACCAAATCGTAAACATTTCCACAACAAAAATGGATAAATTGCCAGACATCTTTCCGGAACATTTTATAGATAATTCCGGACAATAAACCCCAAATCCAGCCATATGTATCTCCTTCTTAACGGACCTATCCGTGAAAAAGAAGGTGCTGTCAGGAAACATACTTCCAGCTTCATCCTTAAATGCGTTATCAATATTTGCACTGGATCCGCTCCATTTCATCAGATGATCCACAATTGGTAATCCGCTCAAAATTGTCACTCCAACATCTCCCAAGTCCACCCTAAAATTAAACATGTCATTCAATCTTGTTCTCCTAAGATATTTTATATAAACTGCGACATCCTGATACAACTCCAAAAACAACGGTTTTCTCCCAGTTCTTCGACCTTCAAATAAAGCATACATTTCCAACATAAACTTTCTTGCCAAGAAACGCATCCTTACTTCTAATGGTTGTTCTTCCATTTCCACCAAAATGGCATTGGTTGGCGATGACGTTAACAATCCCAAAATCATTCTTAAACATTGAAATTGTACTCTGTTAATCTTCTCTTTTAAATATAACGGTAAAGGGTAGATTAGCCAGCCAAGTGTCTCCAACCTTGAAAGTATCATCGCCTTATACAGTGCCAACGAAACCGCCGGAGAACATACCCATCTGGTAGACGATACTGATCTTATAATATCCATAGACTTAGTACATGACAACACCATCCGTCCCACCTGTTCTTTCCACAATAATTTTCTATTTAATTGAAGTCCCAAGTATTCTATGCATTCCTTCACCTCCAATATTTCATTATTAATCTTTATCGGCGGAGTCTCCTCTACTCTTCTTCTTCTGCTAAAAAATGGTGGCTTCCGACTTAGTCCGAGACAATGACATAGACCTTGAATCCAAAAAATTATTGACTACGCGCAATCTTTGATTCATTGCCTCAACCGCTGCTTCCACCGAATTAGCTTTCATCAACAATACTACATCATCCGCATACACAATAGCTTTCACACCTATGGCTTCTAAGAATTTGTTCAAGTCAGAAATATAAATGTTAAACAGGATTGGTCTTAAAGGACTCCCTTGAGGTAGCCCTTTATATGTTATTCTTTTGTTGTCTTGGTCTTCATTCATTTTTACTATTTTTACCAAAAATAACTGTTAAAAGACTATGGGTTCGTTGACATACAGAGCAGCAGCCTGGTATAGCAAAGTCCGACAGACTTCAGTTATCACTGTTATCAGTAAACTTTCACGAATTCAACGAGTAGCTGGATTGGCAATCTCTGGTACGATAAGCATAACGCCAACTCTAGCAATGGATGTTCTGCTTGGTCTATCTCCATTGCATTTGCATATAGAGAAAGTGGCTAGAACTACTATTTACAGATTTAAACAATATGCTCAAAACTGTTCTGACATGTCCTACCAATGGGCCGCGAAAGACATTATAAGCACTAATATTGTGTTATCAATGCCGTCAGATTTGACGGAATCATTATCAGTGATTAATGCTCGATACCAGATTGTACTGCCTGAACGGCAGTTCTGGATCGGAAATGAAAATTCTCTGGTTGAGGCAGATATTTGCATGTTCACAGATGGATCAAAAGCGCCGGAAGGGGTCTGGGAAGAAGTATACTGCCCGACACCTCGGATTAAGCTTACAGCCTAGGTACGTACTGTACTGTATTCCAGGTGGAAGTATTTGCTATTGACATGGGTGCTAAATCCTTCTTGAGAGAGGTGCTAAATCCTCTCTAAAAGCATTAAAGTTCTAATAGGTGTCTTGTTGGATCTTGCCGACGATGTCAACATTATGATATCGTTTTGAAAAAATTTAAACATCTCTCTCCAGTTAAGGTTGCTTCAAAAAAGTAAGGACCCATGACAGTATCCCCTACTACTTCGCTCCACACGTTGATCTATGATCTAATGTGGATTTCGGGTAGCCCAGTACCGATAATTTTGTTTATACTTACTTGTCCACCCACTATAATAAAAATGTTCCCTCTTCGGAAAAAATTATGCTTTTGACAAAGTCTTCATCATCGTGGCAAAATTGTAGTTGCAAAAACGACTAATTGCTCGTGAATGAGGATATAGGAATGATATTTTGCGGTTTTTGTGAAAATTTTGTAAACCCTTTACAGTAACATGAGAGTTTTCTTGCACCGCCAAAACCACGAAACATTTGGTCGGCCAGACTTCGAGAAATTTGATAGATGCCCATGCTTTTTAAATTTAGTCACAGCTAGGCTTACCATACTTTGGCTAATGAGTTGACGATCAGGATGTGTTGTATTAAAGAGGTTAACTAGTTAGTAAATCAGTTTTTGACACTTAGGAAATTGTTTAAAATCATTGGTTACCATAGTTACTTACTCATGGCTACTGCAATTTTTATCATGTCAATAAATCTGAAGTAGTTAAACTTTAAAGTAATTTTTCCTCGAAATTTTTCTTATATAACCAATAATGATATTGACTGTACTAAATAAGTACAGTTAATAATCAGTCCTTAATGTACAGATGTCACAAAATTGAAATACGACCCCTAAGTTGAAATTTTTAAACGAGAAATCAAACTTTAATCGAATTTATTCCTTACTTTATGTACACAATGTATAATTGAAGCTAAAATAAAGATCAAATTTGATATAGAAATAATATTTCTTTTAATTCAATAAACAAATAATTATTTTTGATATAACATAGCGAAATGACACTTTTGCATTCAAGAACTTTTTATAAATTAATAAAACAATCAAAATAAATAATGGCATTTGGAATACATTTAATATGTCATTTAATTATGTCAATGAACTATTTATTTTTGAACATAACATATTCTTTCATGTTTTGATGGTTAGGGAAGCGATGAAAACAAAAACAAACAGAGTAAATAATAAGCATTTAAGAGTAACAGGCATTGTTTATTAACAATTAATAATTTATATATTGTGAAGTAATAAAAATATAGAATGTGTTGTCGGAAAGCGATGAAGGCTTACCTTATGAAGTGTCTGAAGCAGTAAAAATTGCAATTTCTGAACTTATTCCCAGCAAATTCACAAAGCAAATATAAGGTAAATTTATGTTTGCTCGCGATTGTTAGAAATGCGCACCTTCTCTAAGGGTACCATATTGTATTCTGTCTCCAGATCGATAAATACATGATGTGTACTATCCGTGCCAAAAGTCAAAGCTCATCAGCTTAGAGATCGATATTTTAGCATCCGCTCGATAAAAAAAA